CACATAAAGCAACAGTCCTGCAAATCAGAATATTGACTTCTATCAATTTCCTATTGCTGTATAATAAATTACCACAAACTTAGCAGTAAAAGTCAACATCCAGGGCCAGGGAAATAGCTCAGTGGCACAGTGCCTGACTGGCAAGCATGAGGCCCTGAGTTCGATTCCTAGTACCAAAGGAAAAAAAAAATCAATGTCTACTTATTAGCCTTACTTTCCTATAGATCATAAATCGAGGCAGGCTTGACTGTGTTCTTTGCTTAGTTTCTCATAAACCCTAAGTTCACATGCTATCTGGATGGGGTTTCTCACTGGAGGTTCCGAGTAAGACTCACTTTCAACCTTCAGGTTGTTGGCAGAATTCTGTTCCTGTGGTTTTAAGATGAGGTCCTTTCCCATTTCCTTTGTGGCTGTGGGACAGGGAGTCATTCTCAGCTCTGAGGCCACTTTTTGGTACTCACGTAGGGTCCTCTCCATCTTCAAGGCCAGCAGTAGTGCATTAAATGCTTTCTTTATGTATTCTTGGAGACAGGGTCTCACTCTGTAGTTCACACTGGCCTTGAACACACTATGCATTCTAAACTGCCTCAAACTTTTGGTAATCCTCTTGCTTCAGTTTATGGGTTTATAGGTGTGTATCATACCTGACTCTAAATTAAATGCTTTCTTAAAAATCTTTGATGGGCAGGGGAAATGGCTCAGCAGCATAAGTGCCTGCCTGGTGAGTGCAAGGTCTTGAGTTTGGTCTCTGGTACCAAAAAAAGGGAGTTGGGGGGTTCAGTAGAGTAAGTGCCTGCCTGGAAAGCACAAGGTCCTGAGTTCAATCCCTGGTACTGCAAAAAATAGAAGATAATTCTGCCTACCACAGCATTTACTCACAAGATGAATGGGAATGACCTCTTTGGGAGAAGAGGAAATGGGAACAGATTACCTCTGCCCATTTTACACTAAGAAAAGCGAAGCACTTGACATGAGAATGATCTGTCATTCTGCCCAGTATACCACATCAGTGCCTTCTGCCTTTTCTAAAGTGACAACTTTAAGGGCCAACTAAATAGCTCAGTGGATTAAAGCGCCTGCAAGCAGGTGTAGAGGCTGGGGGTTTTATCCCAGGGCCTGCCATGCCAGCCCCGCCCCTGGGGAGTACTGAGACAATTAAGATTGGGCGTGGTGGCACACACCTGTAATCCCAGCTCTTGGGAGGCTGCAAACAGGCGGATCACTACAAGTCTGATCTAGTAGAGAGACCCTGAACACCCTGTAGACCCTTCCCTAAGATACAAAAAAAATAGAACGACAACTTCCATTACATGTGGATACTTCAGTACCTTGAGGTAAACATTCACAAATAATTTTAAAGTATGCCTCAGAACTAAAAGATTATATTTTAGTTTTTCCTCATCAGATTGTGAGAAGTCCAAGCTGTCTAGGAGTATGTACAAAGAACATATGTTAGATAAGGCAAGGT